CGTGAGACTAACTGATGAGTCACGTGTGAAGTCTGAGCTCAAAGGATGGGCGGCCTCCACTATTTCTGCCGGTGTTTAGTCGTGGGTGTGAAAACATGCAAGTCAAAGCAGCAACAACAGCAACAGCAGTAGAGGCCAGCCATTTAAGTGCGTGGAATTAAAGAAAACAAGAAAGAAAGGGTGGAAAAACGCAAGAGAGACAGACAGAAATACACAATCACCCACCAACATATTATGGTAACGGTCCATTATGTTTGTTTGTTAGTTTGTTTGTTTGTTTGTTTGTTTGTTTGTTTGAGTAAAGAGAGGCACATCGACAAAATAATGGTCATTTTGGTGATGGTAAAAAGTAAGACAGACAGACAGAAACAACAGAGGGACAATTAAAGAAGCAGGACCTACCAGTGGTGCTCTTAAACCACCTGCAAATGGCCATTTAAGTGTTTCAGTTTGTGTTTTAGTAAGTGTTTTACGGCACTTGGAGTACAATAAGGTCATATAAGTGCCGAAGATTAGAGGTGTTACAAGGGAGTAGCAAACAAAAAAAGGAGGGGAGATAAAGACGATAGATATTTGATAGGAAAGGAGTAAACCACATCAGAGCACCCGCCAACCGCCCACCATTTAAATGTATTGGGGGGGGGGGGGAGCAGGAGAGACAGACAGGAGCAACATCATCATCTGCACACATATTAAAGCAATGGCCATGTAAAAGTATGGGGGGAAAATGTAGGAGAGACAGACAGAAACAGCAGAAGGAAAGAAAAGTAGTTGGGAACCAATAAATCGCCAACATAATATAAGAGCAATGATTAGCCTACTTGTATGAGGAGTATTCTAAGAATTAAGGATAGAATAAGAAATGAAGAGCTGTGGAAAATGACAGAACAAAAGGATACAGAAGTAGACATAGGACTAAGAAAGTGGCGATGGATGGGACACATCTTCAGAAAGCCCAGCGGAAACATCACAAGACAGTCACTGCAGTGGAACCCACAAGGAGCACGAGGCAGGGGTAGGCCACGGGAAACATGGAGAAGATGCGTGGAAAGGGACATGAGAGAGACGAAGCTCACTTGGAACGAGCTTGGAAGGATGGCTCAGGACAGAGATAAATGGAAGGAGCTTGTATGTGATCTATACCCAGCCAGGGGTGAAAGGCATTGATGATGATGATGATTAACCTACTATTCGGCGTTAAATAAATAAAAGCACCACAAAACTTATAGGAAGTGAGGAGAATAACAGGAATAGGAAGAAATATATAATAAACTCAGAAGGATAAAAATGATGAGAAACAAAGGCAGAAAGGTGGAGGGGCAGAGAGGAGATGGAGTGCAGAAGGAAGAAGGAAGGTGAAGGTGAAGGAGCGAAGGGGGGAGGGGGAGGGTGGTTATTCGTAAGAGTTTTACAGCTCTTGCAACACAATAAGGTCATATAAGTGCCGATGATTAGAGGTGTTCCAAATGTGGACAAAGTGGAAACATAATCTAACATTACAGACACTGAAGAGGTGTTAATACGGGCTAAAAAAGAAGGATACCAAATTAAAGAAGTAAATGTGTGTCTTCTGAGATGGATCATGAAGATGGTGTGGGGTGGGGAGGGGGGGCAGAGATGGACATGTTCCGACTACAGTGACCCAAACACAGTAAGACAAGTAAGACGTGTGTCTTCGTGGTAAATCAGGCGTTCCGTCTTACTTTACTTTACTTTTATCCGCTGCTTATACCCTTTTGGGTGTCGCGGGAAGAAAAAGACGTCTCTCTGCCACCACCAGGAGTTCGTCAAAATAATGAAAACAAAGAAACTTATATATAAAACATTATCCTGCCCATTGGGCAATTTCTATTGATTTTTGTTTTGGATTCAACACTTTCTATGTTCATTTAACTACACATTCCTGCTTAGGGTTTCCAAAAAAAAAAAAAAAAGGAAAGACGCTGGTCAAACACACAAAAAACATAAATTTATTTTCTAAGGGCACTTCAGCTCCAGAAGTGATCAAACTTTAGCCACCATATTCTCACTAGCTTTACTACTGACACCAAACAACCGTCCGTCTCCTTCAATCGCAAAATCTTTTTTTTTTAACTTCAGATCAAGATAAATCAATCCTTTTTCATTAGAAATATAAAAAAACCCCAAAAATAAATAAATGTAGTTTCCAAGGGCATATTAGGTGATCAAACTTTAGCCACCATATTCTCACTAGCTTTAAAACTGACACCAGGCAACTTCATGGACACCCCCATGATCTCCTTCAATTGCATATTCTTTTTTAAAACTTCAGATCAAGATAAACCAATCCTTTTTCATTAGAAATAAAAACAAATGAACAAACTTTAAAATGATAGCAATATCTCCGTTTGCCCAAAAATTGACGAGCGCTTGATTCCACCACATCATGACACAAATCCTTATTTAAAAAAAAAAAAAAAAAAAAAAGAAAAAAGAGAAAAACATGTCTTAAACCAAAAGTTGCGGCAGAGAGCAGCATAAAAGGGCTAACGAAAGGGGAAGTAAGCACATAAGAGGGTTCACAGTGGGCCGGTGAGAGGGTTTATCTAGTAAAGGGGAAGTAAGCATAAGAGAGTTCACAGAGGGTCTAGCATTGGGAAAGTAAGCATAGAGGGTTCAGTAAGAGGGTTTATCTATCTAAAACAGGGGACGTAAGCATAAGAGAGTCATAAGAGGGGAAGTAAGCACATAAGAAAGTTCACAAGAGGGTCTACTAGCACAGGGGAAGTAAGCACACACGAGAGTTCACATAAGGTCGCTTTTAAGCACAAGGGGGCTATCCCGGAAAATGCTGTTTTGAGAAAATCGAAGGTAAAGTTTCTACCCCTTGTTCAGTTTCTTTAAAAGACAAGGAGAGTTTTCTCGATATTATAACCAAACATTTATATACGCACCAATGATACCAAACTTCTCTTATAAGCAGGGCAAAGCCAACTTTTGGTGTAGGTTAAGATTTCTGGAAACCCCCGTAATCTGGGTTAGCCCGCTTGTTCTTAAAAGTGACCATAAGAGAGGGGAAGTAAGTACATGAGAAGAAAGTTCACATAAGAGAGTCTAGCACAGGAAAAATAAGCACATAAGAAAGTTCACATAAGGTCGCTTTTAAGCACAAGGGGGCTATCCCGAAAAATGCTGTTTTGAGAAAATCGAAGGTAAAGCACATAAGAAAGTTCACAAGAGAGAGGGTCTGGCACAGGGGAAGTAAGCACATGAGAGAGTTCACATAACGACCCTTGAAAGCAAAAATGGCTTAAGTGCCAAAATAAACAAATCAGACATAAACATTTGGCAGAATAGAGCTTGATGTCACCTTTCAAAGCAATTTTGTCTTATCTCACCATTCAAAATTTTCATTCGCGATTTTCTCCAAACAGCAGTCATGGCACTTAAGACAATTTTGCTTTCATGGGTCGAATATTATGAGAGTCAACTAGCACAGAGGAAGTAAGCGCACACGAGAGTTCACATAAGGTCGCTTTTAAGCACAGGGGGGGCTGTCCAGAAAAATGCTGTTTTGAGAAAATCGAAGGTAAAGCACATAAGAAAGTTTACATAATGACCCTTGAAAGCAAAAATGGCTTAAGTGCCAAAATTAACAAAATAAACATAAACATATGGCTGAATAGAGCTTGATGTCACCTTTCAAAGCAACTGTCTTATCTCACTACTCAAACTTGTCCCAAGAATTATAGGCAAATCACATTTTTTCTTACCTCAATACTCAACCTTGTTCAAAATTTTCATTTGTGATTTTCTCCAAACAGCAGTCATGGCACTTAAGACATTTTTGCTATCATGGGTCGAATATTAAGAGAGTCAACTAGCAAGGGGAAGTAAGCACATAAGAGAGTTCACATAAAAGAGAGTCTACTAGCACAGGGGAAGTAAGCGCACACGAGAGTTCACATAAGGTCGCTTTTAATCACAAGGGGGCTATCCCGAAAAATGCTGTTTTGAGAAAATCGAAGGTAAAGCACATAAGAAAGTTCACAAGAGAGAGGGTCTGGCACAGGGGATGTAAGCACATGAGAGAGTTCACATAAGAGGGTATACTAGCCCAGGGGAAGTAAGCATATAAGAAATTTCACATAAGAGGGTATACTAGCCCAGGGGAAGTAAGCACATAAGAGAGTTCACATAAAAGGGTCTAGCACAGGGGAAGTAAGCGCATGAGAGGATTCACATAAGGTCGCTTTTGAGCACAAGAGGGCTATCCCGAAAAATGCTGTTTTGAGAAAATCGAAGGTAAACTTTTTGCCCCTAGTTCAGTTTCTTTAAAAGACAAGGAGAGTTTTCTCTATAACCAAACATTTATATACGCACCAATGAAACCAAACTTCTCTTATAGGTAGGGCAATGCCAACTTTTGGTGTAGGTTAAGATTTCTGGAAATCCCCGTAATCTGGGTTAGTCCGCTTGTCCTTAAAAGCGACCAACTAAGAGAGAGTCAACTAGCACATGAGAAGAAAGTTCACATAAGAGAGGGTCCACTAGCACAGGGGAAGTAAGCACACACGAGAGTTCACATAAGGTCGCTTTTAAGCACAAGGGGGCTATCCCGAAAAATGCTGTTTTGAGAAAATCGAAGGTAAAGCACATAAGAGAGTTCACAAGAGAGAGGGTCTGGCATAGGGGAAGTAAGCACATAAGAGAGTTCACATAACGACCCTTGAAAGCAAAAATAGCTTAAGTGCTAAAATAAACAAATCAGACATAAACATTTGACTGAATAGAGCTTGATGTCACCTTTCAAAGCAATTTTGCCTTTTCTCTCTACTCAAACTTGTCCTGAGACATAATCCCGAGAATTATAGGAAAATCCCACTTTGTCTTACCTCAATACTCAACCTTGTTCAAAATTTTCATTCGCGATTTTCTCCAAACAGCAGTCATGGCACTTAAGACATTTTTGCTTTCATGGGTCGAATATTAAGAGAGTCAACTAGCAAGGGGAAGTAAGCGTGAACCAACAAACAAACCAGGTATTCGGTGTTGGGCTGCGTGCTCTCATCCAGCAACTCTACCTCTTGGTCATCCAAGTTCTCGTCGTGGGCGCGGGCCATCTTCTCCCGCATACGCTTCTCTCGTTTCTGAGGAGGCATCAGGAAAGAGAACGGTGAAAATGGTGAAATGGTATGGGTTTAAACTTAAGTTTAGATTTAGTAGAGGGTTTTGCGGCGCTCGCAACTGCATAAGGTCATATGAGCGCCAGAAGATTAGAGGTGTTACAAGAGAGTAACAAACACAAAAAAGAAGGAGGGGAGATAAAGACGATGAGATGTTTGATAGGAAAGAAGGAGGAAACCACACTAGAGCACCCGCCAACCACCCAGAGAGAGAGTTTGGGTTTTTTAGTTTTAGTAGAGGTTTTAAGGCACTCGCAACTGCATAAGGTCATATGAGCGCCACCACAGAGAGAGAGAGAGAGAAAGAGGACCAATGAAATTAAATGAAAAAGAAAGTTAAATCATAAACAAAGGAAACAAGATGATGATATTTCTCTAATACGGGGTGCCCACTACAGCTGGATCGGGCCGATCGCCCGACTCGATCGCCTGAAATTGAAAACAAACATGTTTGTTTTTGAGGCGCTCGAGTCGGGCGATCATCTCGATCGGCCGATCCCGTCCGTAGTGGGCACCCCGTATTCGGGGACAGAGCTAGGACGTTACCTTCATCCGCATGGACATGAGGACAAAGCCGATGATGAGTAGCACAGCCAGACCTGCGCTGATCACTGCCCCGACGGCGTACGGCGAGACTGGAGGGAGAACATAGACATATGGTCATAAGTCACGTACAGTCATAAGTCACATATAGAGAGACTGGGGGGGGGGGGGGATCATAGACATATGGTCATTAGTCACATACAGTCATACGTCACGTACGGTCATAAGTCACATATAAAGAGACTGGGGGACATCATAGACATAATATATGGTCATTAGTCACATACAGTCAGTTTAGTAGAGGTTTTACGGCGCTCGCAACTGCATAAGGTCATATGAGCCCCAGAAGATTAGAGGTGTTACAAGAGAGTAACAAACATAAAAAAGAAGAAGGGGACATGAGGACGATAGATGTTTGATAGGAAAGAAAGTCATAAGTCACGTAGTCGTAAGTCACATATAGAGAGACGGGGGGGGGGGGGGGGGAGATCATAGACATATGGTCATAAGTCACATACCGTCATAAGTCCCACACAGTCATAAGTCACACACAGTCATACGTCACATATAGAGAAATTTGGGGGGAGATCATAGACATATGGTCATTAGTCACATACAGTCATAAGTCACGTACAGTCATAAGTCACATATAGAGACTGGGTGGAGAACATAGACATACAATCATAAGTCGCATACAGAGAAACTTGGGTTATAACACACACACACACACAGTCATAAGTCACACACAGAGAGACTGGGGGTATAACAAACATGACACAGTCATAAGTCAAACACAGAGAGACAGGGGGTATAACATACATGACAAAGAGACTGGGGGTATAACAAATATGACACAGTCATGAGTCACACACAGTCAAAAGTCACGTATAGTCATAAGTCACATATTGTGAAACTTTGGTTATAACACACTAGTAATAAGTCACATGCAGTCAAAAGTCATATATTGTAATAGGTCAGTTTAGTTCTAGTAAGAGTTTTATAGCACTTTGCAACACAATAAGGTCAAAAAGTGCCAAAGAATGGATGTGTTACAAGAGAGTAACCTACACCACAAAAAAGAAGGAGGGGAGATAAGGACGATCGATGTTTGATAGGAAAGAAGGAGCATACCACACCAGAGCACACACCAACCACACACTACCTCTACATCACAGATGCCAGCAGGTCCGTTCATTAATTCATAACTCTAGCATTTTTTTTCAAGATAGTCTTATTATCGACGATCATGAGAGTGGGAAAGATGACAAAAGATGACAATGAAGAATGAATGAACAAATGTCTAGAAGGATTTTGTATGTAAGTATTGAGTCGGTAATAATAATAATAATAATAATAATAATAATAATAATAATAATAATAATAATAATAATAATAATAACAACAGATAGCATTTGTGTAACGCAAATCCCCGCGGAACAGCAAGCTCTCTGCGCTTCACTATTATAGACTTCACTAAAGATGAATATTCTTAAGATGATGATGATGATGATGATGATGATGATGATGATGATGATGATGATGATGATGATGGTGATGATGATGATGATGATGGTGATGATGACGATGATGATGGTGATAATAATTATAACAATGACAGCAGCAAGCATGACAATGCCCGAGGAGAACATCTCAACCACAATGACAAAGTACTAAACAAACAATAGTACCGTTTTACCAAAGAGGTAGTAAGCAAACCGTTCAAATTGCACACACAATCATTATAATGATAAGTAGTAAGAAACATTTATGACGCCATGCTGGGAACATTAATCTGTACATTCACGTCTATCTGTCATTCAAAGCATTCGTCCTCAGCATAAAATGTCTTTGTTTCAGTAAGAATTTTAAGGCTCTTGCAACACAATTAAGTCATATATTATTATAGGTGCCAATGATTATCATTTATCAGTACATTCCCATCTATCAGTCAATCAAAGCATTTGTCCTACCCATCTATAATATGTCTTTGTATTAGTAAGAATTTTACGGCTCTTGCAACACAATTAAGTCATAAATATGAGCCGATGACTCGAGGTGTTACAAGAGAGTAACAAACACAAAAAAGGAGGAGGGGAGATAAGAACGATAGATGTTAGAAAGGAAAGAAGGAGCAAAACACACCAGAGCACCCACCAACCACCCGCATCTATATGTCTATCTAATGACATACATACATACAAGTATATTATAATATTATAAACTGAGATTATGGTAAAAATGACTTCTTTTCACTTTTTTAATATATAACATATATCATATATCTCTGACCTATTTGTGGTGGCCGAATTTTGCTATTCAAAAGGCTTTTTAATGACAGCATCGATCGACATGCGGTTTTCGCCAAAAGATTCTTTAAAATATTCTCCAGAACATGACGCCTTTGTTTTTTTTTCAGTTTTGAGACACTTTTGCAGCAAAAAGCTAAATTTCTTTATTTCGCCGATCGCTTTGGTGGGCCGAAGCTTCTGTCTCTGTAATTTTAGAAAATCCGGAAGTGATATTTCGCGAGGCGCGTTTAGTTTTGAGAGTATAGATCTAGACCTTATAATTTTTTGCATCTCTCAAGATTTATTGCCCCATTCCAGTAGAGTGTAATAAATATAGTAGACCAATGACTTTTAGTTGAAGAACGGTTTGTATAAGAACGTATAGGCACCGCCGATCATTCCTTTCATCGAAAGGGGGCCCAGCTAGTGTAATATATTCTTATAATATAAACATTAAAAAAATATATATATAATATATATTTTACAGATGTATATTATATATATATTTAATATATTATTATTCTTTTTAAAAAAATAACCCACTTCTACAGCACATTTAAAAAGACCAAATTTGTGTCAAAGGGGAAGTAAACCTTTCACAACACATATCAGTTGATCACCACTTTTTCAAAGGCTACACAATTAATAACAATAATTGTATATATATATATATATATATATATATATATATATATATATATATATATATATATATATATATATATATATATATATATATACACATACAGTCGAACCTGCCCTGACAGAAACCTCTATAAGACGGCCACCTGTACAAACGGCCACTTTCCATTTCCCCCCTTGCGTTCTTTCTATATAATTTAACTGTGTAAAACGGGCACCTGTCCAACGCGGCCGCGGCCATCTTATTTCTACACACAACCCCTATCACACTAAGCAATAACACCCGTCTAAGACGGCCACCTTAGTGACTCCATTTCGTTTAGTCATAAATTGTGCTTTGGCCCCTGGCGTTGTGGGCCAGCCGACATAATTCAATCACCTGTCGCTGTTGTTAGGTAGTCCCTCCAACCGATCATGTTGCGTAGGCCCCTCCCACTGTTGACCAATAGCTGCCAATTTTCAGCTGCTAGTGAGGAAAGTGTGTGATCCCTCATAACCCATAAGCCCCGCCCAGAACTTAAACACAAATCGTATGCGAGATGAGTGGTCACTGTTTACTCAGTCTGTAACAAAGTAACAAAGGACGTCAACATGAGCTTGTGACAGAACGTCGCTCGTTCTCCGAGTGGTGGCGACCCAGGAGTTTGTTTTTACTTCGCACTCAGTCTTCCTTGTCTGATACATTTAGTTTTATTGTCACCCTTTTGCGAAATCAGCAACAAATTAAAAATTACAAACAAAATACAAACCACCACCAACAACAACAACAAACACAACAATGCGGCTACTTTCGATTGGGACCTCTGATAGGAATAATTACTTTTTTTCTTCTTCTTGATCAGTCCTGCCTAAGACGGCCACCTGTCTTATACGGCCACTTTTCTCCTTGACAATGGGTGGCCGTCTTACACAGGTTTGACTGTATATATATATATATATATATATATATATATATATATATATATATACACCACATCTACGCTATCTACGCTCTATAGCATGCTCTAAGCACTTTATAACTATTATTTCCCCAGCAGACAACAGAACACTCACACACATGCTCGGCTTTCTGGGAATAAGTACACGGTGCAAGCTGTTTCATGCCCTCATGTACTATCAGTTTTTTTAGCAAGAGTTTTACGGCACTTGCAACACAATAAAGTTATATAAGTGCCGAAGATTAGAGGAGTTACAAGGGAGTAACAAACATAAAAAAGAAGAAGGGGAGATAAGGACGATAGCTGATGTTTCATAGGAAAGAAGAAGCAAACCACACCAGAGCACCCAGTTGTAGTTTTAGCAAAAGTTTTACGGCACTCGCAACACAATAAGCTCATATAAGTGCCGAGGATTTGAGGTGTTAAAAGAGAGTAACAAACACCAAAAGAAGGAGGAGGAGAGAGAAGGACGATAGCTTTTGATAGGAAAGAAGGAGTAAACCACACCAGAGCACCCGCCAACCACCCACTCAGACAGTTTCGAATAAAATTATAGAACCAACCATATTTGTTAGGGAAGACTAAGGTATTAGTTCAAACATTGTGAAAGGTGAACACAGTAAAAGGTGAACAAAGATAGAGGTAGACATAATTAAAGGTGAACATATGAAAAGGTGAACATAGAGAAAAGTGAACATAATTAGGGTGAACATAGCATAAAACTACCCTAAAAAAAAACCAATAGAAAATTTTATTAATATTCCACAGTCTTAGTGTTGGCTTCAGTTTCCCATCTCATAGACAACGCCAAGGCGACTTTACAATAATGATATCAACCTCTTCGTGCTGTGCTATTTGTTTTAGTAAGCGTTTTGCGGCATTTGCAACACAATACGGTCATATAAGTGCCGAAGATTAGAGGTGTTACAAGAAAGTAACAAACACAAAAGAGAACGAGGAGAGATAAGGACGATAGATGTTTGATAGGAAAGAAGAGCATCTATCGTCCGTATCTTTCCTCCTCCTTTTTGATGTTTGTTACTCTCATGTAACACATCTAATCTTCGGCACTTATATGACCTAATAGTGTTGCAAGTGCCGTAAAACGCTTATTACCAGAGCACCCGTCAACGACCCACCAACAGGGCTATGGAAAATAAACAGACATTTGACAGACAATATGAACCCTCGCCAAGATGGAGAGAATGGAAGGAAACAACTATGTACATTGTATTCATGCACATAACATCTACAGCCAAACATGCTCTGTGGGTGGTTGGCAGATGCTCTGGTGTGGTTTAGGCCTACTCCTTCTTTCCTATCCAACATCTATCGTCCTTATCTCCCCTCCTTCTTTTTTGTGTTTGTTACTCTCTTGTAACAACTCTAATCTTCGGCACAAATATGACCTTACGCATTTGCGAGTGTCGTAAAACTCTTACTAAAACTAAACCAAAACATCTATCGTCCTTGTATCTCGCCTCCGCACTTTTCCCTTTCGTCAACCCGCAGCCACCTCCCGAATCGTCAGCCACCCCCCAACCTTTGACACGGGTCAAACTTCCATCTATTTATAGGTAGTTGAATTACCGGAACATGCATTAGGCGAAGTGATTAGCAATGATAGTCGGAATAGAGAGATTGTTTTGGTCTCTCTGTATTCATCTGCACCACACGAATTTAATTGATATTTTTCCCTGGACTCTGCCTTTACTAAAGTCTCGAATCTAGATCTAGTTGTAATCTAGTTACAGGTTGCAGATTTAATAAATTGCCGACAGAGAGAGAGAGAGAGAGAGAGAGAGGGAGAGAAGGGGGAGGAGTAGATCTTGCGAGAACTTTCGGGCAAAACAAAATGGCGACCCGCGTAGTTCGGCTCGATTCGAAAAGTGAAAGAGCCATAGCATCTTTGTAGACGATCAAATTAGCTTAGTTTTGTGCTATAACGTCAATTTTTTCTTTGCTTTTGTTAATTTGATCATCCACACCGATAGAAAGTATTTCGAAATTAGGAAAAACAGGTCTTGTTTCCCACTGGGTGAAAATAGCCAACGCTGGCAAGTCTCATCAGGGGTGAGAGGTCAATCGTAGGGTTTTTATTCTCACCCCGAGTGAGGATATCCACTTCCTTACTTAAATGATTAGGTGATTAAACTTGATCTTTTATTGACAATATAAAAGTCAATTTAAGCTTCATTTCGTTAGAAAAAAATGTTAGGTTTGCTAACTTCTTAGACTTTGTGTTAAACAACACTTTTAACAAAACGAATCATTACAAGCCTAGGCTTGGCCTTTATTGTGTTCTCGAAGATTTAAAAGTAGAAGTAAAAGAGTCTATTACTAGAGTCTAGAGTCTAGATCTAGTCCAATTTATTTAATCTCTTGAATGTACTGGATAACAGAAATCTGCAACCTGCCACTAGATTACAACTCTAGATCTAGATCTAGATTCGAGATTTTAGTAAAGGCAGAGTCCAGGGAAAAACTTCAAGAAATTCTCGTGGTGATGAGTAAAGAGAGACCAAAACAATCTCAATAAATAATATATCTCGACTATCACGGCACATCACTTCACCTATACATGTTCCGGTAACTACCTATAAATAGATGGAAGTTTGACCAGTGTCAAAGGTTGGGAGTGGCTGACGATTCGGGAGGTGGCTGCGGGTTGACGAAAGGGAAAAGCGCCTCGCCTCCTTCTTGTTTTGTGTTTGTTACTCTCTTGTAACACCTCTTATCTTCGGCACATACTAATGACCTTATTGAGTTGCAAGTGCCGTAAAACTCTTACTAAAACTAAACTAAAACATCTATCGTCTTTCTCTCCCCATCTTCTTTTTTGTGTTTGTTACTCTCTTGCAACACCTCTAATCTTTGGCACATATATATGACCTTATGCAGTTGCGAGTGCCATAAAACTCTTACTAAAACTTTAAAACAACAACCCATGCTCTGACAGCCACCTGTCCAAGACGATCATCTGAACAGACGGCCACTCCCCCCCTTGTGTCTATACTATAATAATACACATAACCTGCTCAGTACCTAGTTTTGAAAAATATGACGAAGAAAAAAATAATAAATTTGAGCTTCACAATAATATGTCAAGCTTTTGAATATCTTGATTTTTTAAAAAATTAGTAGGGGGAGGTTTTACGGCGCTCGCAACTGCATCAGGTCATATTTGTGCCGAAGATTAGAGGAGTTACGAGAGAGTAACAAACACAAAAAAAGAAGGAGGGGAGATAAAGACGATAGATGTTGGATAGGAAAGAAGAAACAAACCACACCAGAGCACCCGCCAACCACCCACGAATATCTTGATAACGACTCCGAATAATCTTACGATTCTAATAGCGCAGATAGAACAAAATTTTTAATGACCTGATCATGGTCTAAGTAACTCAAATTTGAATGGTCAAAAATGTGTCAAATAGAACTTTGTAACTATCTAAGGTAGCGATACGTACAGTCAAACTTGCTCTAACAACCACCTGTGAAAGACAAATCTCCTATACAAACGACCATTGTTCACTCCCCCCCCCCTTGCGTTTTTTTTTCTATATATATTACAATGACACAATCAAAGAGGACGACCTGTCTAAGATGACCACTGGTCTCCTTGGCAACGGGCGATCGCTCTGAACAGGTTTTTGTTTTTTAATTTTTGTAAGGTTTTATGGCGCTTGCAACTGCATAAGGTCATAATTATGAGCGCCAAGGGGTGGATGTCAACAGAGAAGTCCAAACAGGGAAACAGACTTACTCTGCTCACCTCTCTAGCTTCAACAGCACAAAGTCTGCTTCGACTATCAAGGCACCCCCGAAATAGCATTTCACAAGAGAGTGACAAACATACAAAAGAAGTTGAGGAAAAATGACAATAGCAAGGATGAGGATAGAAATAGCAGCAGTTCCCCCTATGTTGTTCCGGCACAATATGAGCATGACATTGATAAATCAGCCCATTTACAATTCTACTGCGCATAAGAACATGTCAATATCCCCCCTTTGTGAATGGCCTAAAGACAACTACATTCAATAGCACTCAGGTCTGACTGTACATAAGTACATACAAACAAACAAACAAACAAGCATGCCATCATGCATGAGCAAGGACGACATGGGCCTAAGACAACGAAGAAATGTTCAGGAAAAACATTACAGAGATACGAAAGCTCGTATCGGTGATTTTGTGAGAGAGAGAGAGAGAGAGAGAGAGAGAGAGAGAGAGAGAGAGAGAGAGAG